CATTAGATTTAATATTTAAAGGGATAGTTCATTCAAAAATAAAATAAAATTGTCATCATTTACTCACCCTCATGTCGTTCCAAACCTGTATGAGTTTCTTTATGTTGAACATAAAAGAGGATATTTTGAAGAATGCTGGTAATCAAGTATTTCTTTCCCTACTATGGAAGTCAGTGGGGACCAACAGCTGTTTGATTCTTCAAACTTTTGTGTTCAACATGAGAAAGCAACTTATACAGGTTTGGAACGACATGAGGGTGACTAAATAATAGCACAATTTTCATTTTTGGGTGAACTACTCCTTTAAGTTCAGGTATGCCAAACGTCATTGCTTGTCATGTGTCTTGGTCTTCTAACCAATTAAAATTAGGCAAATTTGAATATACTCATGTACAAGGGGAGCTACATGGGGAAAGTACGTTTGATATGTTTCTGAATGCTTTTTGTTTAATGTGGATGAATCATAATTAATTACTTTTATAATACATTCATGGTGCTTTTTATTGTTATTTGGCCTTTAAAGCTTGTGGTCACCATTTAATTTCATTGTATACAAAATTGCAGCATGAACATTTTATTTTGTGTTTGACGGAAGAAAAAAAATCATACAGACTTGGAATGACATGAGGGTAAGCAAATGATGACAGAATTTTCATTTTAGGGTAAACCATCTCTTTAAATGTTTAGTGAAGGCAGCATATTTCATCAACAGATGTCAATGTAGGACAAATATCAGAGACTAAATGTGCATTATTGTGTTGATTCATGGTAGTGTGATGATTGGTGTTTTCCTGCTGCATTGTACACGTCTCTTCACTTTCCTTCTAGACTCCATGATGTCATCGGCATAGCAACCGCTCTGCGCACACATGAATTAGATGAATTAGTAAGAAGAAGACAGAAGATATTTTTGTTTATCCTCAGTGATTGTGTGTTGCAGCTTCCTCCTCTCTTTGTGTGTGAGTGTGTGCATTTGTGGGGGTGGACAGATGGTCTGAAGAAGTTCTGGATTTAAAGAATTGTTTTCTCAGAGGAAAGGCCATCAGTTGCACTAGAATAACCTACTCACAGCGCAGACAATACACCAATCAGCTATTTGTACAACAAAGAGGACACCATGAGAAGATTTATTCAGTGCCAAAAGATCACCGCACTATCGCAAACACCCTCGCTTCCACATGCGCGGATGAGACGGACTCTTTCACCGAGCTATTTTTGAATGCTTCCCCAGAAATATGAAAGAGAAAGATGACATGTATTAAATAGAAATGGGTGGATGAGATGTGGTGAGAAAAAGGAGGGGAGGTGGAATATGGGAAGAGGCTCTCTGAAACAAAGGAGATGAGACACAGGGAAGTATAAAGAGGAAGATATTCATATAGTGTGTGTAGGGTGTGTGTGTGTGAGAGAGAGAAAGGGAGAGGGAGGAAAGCACTGTAGAGAATTATTTAACCCCTGAGCTCTGCTTTCTGGCTGTGTGGAGACTCTGAGAGTGTTTTGTCGAGGGGTTCCCCTTCTCTGCGTCGTTTATCTTTGGAGGGAGCTGTTGAACCGTAGAAAGGCCCGTAGAGATTTATACTCACACGCACACAGCTGTGTGAGCCAGAAGCTCTACATGGACTGTGAACAAAATATATATGTACAGTATATATAAAAGAGTAATTTGACAGTTGCTGGTTTTTCATACTTGTACGATACTTTTCAATTCAATTCAAGTTTATTTGTATAGCGGTTTTCACGATACAAATCGTTGCAAAGCAACTTTACAGCAAATTAAGTTTCTACAATATTTAGTGGTAGCTTATCAGTGGTGACTGTCAGTTAATGTACATATGGCAGAAATGTACAGAAAAATCAATTAAAGACGTAATCAAACAGACGATGAACACTATTAACAGCAATTATCATATGATGCAATCAAACTTATAGCAAAATATGGTAGTTCTGTATGTTGTTTCAGGGTTGGCATCATCTGAGGTCCTCTGAGGGGTTGGCATCATCTCTTCTCAGGTGTTCTGGATCCAGACTGAAGCTTGTGTACATCCTAGTTACCACAGGATGTCAATCCCGTGGCAAAAACAGAGAAACAAATAGAGACATAATTAGCGTAGCTGCTGTTCTTATACTTATAAGATACATCCATCTCTCTTGAAATATTAGGGTCAAGATCGGTCAATAATGCAGGGACCAACAATCGGGCCAGTTGGTGGACTGTCTTTTGCCTTATCAGTCCAGTAAATGTTATCACTAAATGTTACATTTGTTGATCTTGTCTTATGTACTGTATTTATTTACTTATTATTCGATTATGTACTGTTGCAAATTATACTAGTTTATTTAATTTGATTAAATGTAATTATTATAAATTTTTTATACAAATGTTTTATTACATTTAGATAATTTTTTTTTTATTATTGTTTTGTATTTCATTTTTTCTTACACTGCCAAAATACTAAGGCCACTATGATAACATTATTTAGCTGGCTTAGATAAAAGTGTGTTTATGCATTTATAGCTGCCATCGCGTATAGCTATAAGCTGTTACTGTAAATTTTAAATCTAGTAATTATTTGTAATTACATACATTTAATGAAAAAAACACATTAAAATGTATTTATTATTATTATGTTTTATTATTTATTTATTTTTAAATTTATTTTAGAAATACATAAACACATTTGTTTTAATCTATTACTGTAAATAGATAAATTGATTCAATTATTTAAGAAAACATTTGATGAAAAACACATGTAAAAACATTATTTAAAGTACTTTCAATATATTGAATTATTATTAGAATACAAATGATTAAAATATGAATTATTCAATTTTGGTCACACTTCATTTTAAGGTCCAGTTCTCGCTATTAACAAACCATTAACTACGACTTTTGCCTCAATGAACTCCTAATTTGATGCTTGTATATAGTTAGTAAGTAATAAGGTTATTGTTAAGTTTAGGTATTGGGTAGGATTAGGGATGTCGAGTATGGTCATGCAGAATATGTGCTTTATAAGCCGCCAATATGTTAATAATAGGCATGCTAATAAGCGACTAGTTAATATTGAGAATTGGTATGTGACAAATGTATATGATACCTTTTTTCATATGCTGCCAAAAATAGTGACTGGTCTAGCAGAAACCATCCTTATGTTGAGCAGTGTTAATGTACAGGGCAGAACCCTTTTTTCAAAGTGAGATTTCAGTATGCAGATTTTTGTATTATTTATAGGGAAATTATTATTGTTTTGTTTTTTTGTGTTCACCATATGTTCACATTAAGGCAGATAATTAGAGAACATTAGGGCATGGTCTTAGGAGATCTATCTCTGTCTGAACAGACAGTCTATTCCCTAAACCATTAATGCAAAATGAAAGCTCGCAGATTCTCCCCTCGTCCTCATTCTGACAGCATTATTTATGGATGTGTTGTGTGTTACCATTACTTTTTGAATTGGCAAGTACTGTAGTGCTCTATAACCCAAATGTCCACTATATACAATACAAGCAGATCAGGGTTGAGGTAATACATTAGCACTTGGCTCTGAATAATGTCCAACGCGACAGTAAATGCTCTCCACTGCGGCTTAATTAACATTCCCTACATTGTCAGAGTGCAAGTGCTTTGGCTGGAGGGAATCCCTCACTTAAGAGCTTTGACTAATGTCCTCGCTGGCTGAGAATGCCCAGGTGTCTTTCACTGACAGTCGACCTTGAGGAAACGATGGTCTCTGAGTTCATCTGGCCGCCGATGTTCTTTACTTGCATCTGCCTGAGGAAAATGCACGTTTAATAAAGCAATTTAGTTCATAAGGTCCAGAAATGCACCCTCTATTGTTGAAATGAAATTAAAGGAGGTCTGAATAGGTCACCAGTCTAGCAGATTGTCCTTCCATGCATGTAGTTCTAATCAACAAGTCATTATTCACCAACAATAAAGTGAATATTCAGTAAATTGACACTGTGTTTCTCATAATTGCCTTATGTAATATATGTTTTGAAAATCGCCAATTTGATTAGTATAGTCTTGTTCATTTTTAGCTTTACAGAGGAGTTTTAGAGAGAATGACATTTTCACAGTCTGTCAGAATTGTCCTTCTGACTTTATGGTTATTAGCACAAACTTAATTTACTAACACAGACTGAGGGGCCCGTTCACACACGACACATTTTTTCCATTCCACTGTGCTACTTTTTCATTGTTTTTCTATGTAAACATTCACTAGACTGACATCTTCGACTGTTGCATTCAGAAGTGCTTTTGGAAACTTTTAAAAACATGTCTCAAAGCGTTTTTTCCCCCCTTCATTCCACTGCCCGCATCTCACGTTTTTTAAAGCAAAAATGCTTTGTTTACTTCTTAATGCTGTATTTTTATGTATATTCATTAAAACTCCATATTGCAGATCATTTCCCTGTATATGTAGATCTATGTGATGATTGGTTGATATCAGAAGGGAGGCTAGCCTCCCCTACGAGGTTTCTTTTCTCAACACTCCTCAGCGCTGTGAACACTCGCTCGATGGTGATTGGCTAATTTTTTTTACCAACGGAGGCACGAGAGCTCATCTCTCCCCCGGCCTCCCCCTACCTATTACAGCTGTGAAATTACAAACAAAAAATACACATTCTGAGATATGAACTGAAATGAATTGTGAATTTTATTAACATTAAATCGTCCTCCTCCCATTTTCACCTCAAAATTATGGGGAAGCTGTGCCTCCCCTCCCCCCCTCGACGAGCCCCCACTGACACACACACACACACACACACACACACACACACACACACACTCGCTCACTATGCTGTGACATCAAAGTGGAAATTTAATATTCATCTGCATATGCCTTTGGATGGCTTATTTCTTTATTTATAAGTTGTCCTTAATTTAGTGCGAGTTGTATCTCCTGATCAAAATAAGAACATTTTTGCAAACTGATTTGGCCAGTGCAGCATTTTAAGATTTTGCTAACCCTTCGGATATTTCTCTCTCCCCTCAGGACTTTGATGATTTCATCTTTGCTTTTTTTGCCATGGAGATGGTAATCAAGATGGTTGCACTGGGCATCTTTGGGAAAAAATGTTACCTTGGAGACACCTGGAATCGGCTAGACTTCTTCATTGTGTTGGCTGGGTGAGTCCTGAAATTACTTTACTAAAACTTTTTTTTTTTTTTAATAAGTGTGAATTTATGCACCTCATATTGACCTTTAATGTTCTGCCAAATGTTACAAAAACAAACTACATATAAAACACTACCATTCAAAAGTTTGGAGTCAATAACCTTTTTTTTTTGTTACTTTAATGTTACTCATTGAAATTTCTGTCCATCAAAGACTCCAAATGCTACAAAGTGTTCAAATCCAAAATTGCATTTTAAATTATAATATTTCACAATATAATTGCAATAATTCACAACTGTCTTTACAGTATTTTTGATCAAATGTAAATATAATGTAGAAACTTTAATTTTCTGCAAAGCTGCTTTGCAACAGTTTGTATCGTGAAAAGCGCTATACAAATAAACTTGAATTGAATTGAATCAAATTAATACAGCAAGGTGGGCATAAAAGACTTTAACATTAAATATTTTACCAACTCCAGTACCAACAGTAGTGTACTTTTGTTTTGTGTGTGTGTGTAGCTTAAAAGACATGGTCACTATTGAAATTAAAGAACTACATGAAAATCCTTTAAAATATTATTCTTTCGTGTTACCCAGTAGAAATAACAGCATATCAGATTGGAGCAACATGTCAACCCTAGTAAAAAATAATAGATTTAAATTACATTTATTTCATACTAAGTATAGGTCAAATCTATTAACATATTTCCTGACATATCGCTTGAGATTTAATGATATAAAAAAAATATAATAAAATTTTTTTCGGAGTACTACTTGTACACAATTGCCATTTCATAATATTAAGTTTATGTGTTTTAATGTCACTATTGATGAGAATTGCATGATTTTTGAATAATATTGGTCTTTAAATGCAAGATATTTAAAGTGTACCTGAAGTATACTTGCAATAGCTCCACTTTAGCACAATCAAATATACTTATGTTATCTTTAGTTGGACTTCAGCACTACTTCTGCACAATTAAAGTACTGTACAGTCTGTACAAAATTAGTTGTTCCAATTTAGCAGATTTTAAGTATGCCAGTACTAAAAGTACAATTGCAGGGTATTTTTATTAAGTACATAAATATGTAAATGTATTTGTAGTATACTTGGCGTAAAATAAATGTATTTCAAATACATTTTAGTATATTTATTTGTCACTAGGGAACATGTGGGTAAGTAAATAACGACAGAATTGGGATACAGCTAGTTCTGTCTGTTATCAGCCTGTGCTTCTGAATCGGTCACATCACACATGGTTAGCTGCAAATACGTAATTCTTCAGTGCATCTGTGTGAGAGTCAAAATAATCTTTATCACTGCCAGATTCTACGTTTATGTGTATGTGTGTGTCTCAAGTCTTCTAAATAGGGCACGCTGTTGTGTGAGGCACTTTAGTGTGAACCAATAATCAATGAACATGGGTTTGTAAACACCATAAAACAAAGAGACTGGTATTAAATACAGACAGTTAGTTGTGTAAATGTGTGCCCTGGGAAATATAGTAAAGAAAATGTGTATCACTAATATAGATCTACAACTTTTTGAGAAAGCCATGAAAGGTCAGAAAAGACAAGCTGCTTAGTGAATAAAAGATTTGTGGTTTGTTATGTGATGTTTGCTTTCCAAGAAACACAAGGACTCCCATTCCTATTCCATGAAGCTTGTCAATCATGACTTAGTGGCAGCATGGGCTTTATTGCCAGATTTACTACCTCTGACCTAACCTCATGTGTTATGTTGGTAATCTCATAGGATTATTTGTTGAGATGGAAATCATCTCAGCATTTGGGGCGTATTGAAGCACTTTCTGGAGACATCATCCAAAGTGTGTGCACAGGATAACCATACACGAGTGACAGACTGCTGGCTTTTTCCACTGTTGGCGTAAACTAGTTTCCCCTCGGGTTTTTGATACTTCTCCAGATGAAACGCTTACCACCAAAACCTTCAGTAATTCATGACAGTCTATATCATCTTACACATTCTCAGCAATTTGATCAGTTGTGGTACCTTCTGAAGAATCTGGACCATGGTATAGTAGTGGTATCAGGTACCATGGTTTTTGATATATACCATAATTCTGAAATGGTATTCTCATGATACTCCAAATTACTTCCAAGAATACTGTGGTATATGTCCAAAAATCAATGGCAGTACTATAGTGACATGTCCAAAAAGCTGTGTTACTTGTCCAGTGTCCAATATAGTACCCTGTCCAAAAATCATGGCAGAACCACGGATTTTGTTTGTTAGTACTAAGATTCATTTATTTTTGGGGCTTTGGTAAAAAATTGGCAGGCCAAGTAACATAAAAAAGTGTAATTCATTATAAACCTGAGAACTTGGAGGCATGGTTTATATGTGCCATTTGTTTCAGTTTAAAGGTTAACATTTAGTGTCTTTTTTCCTTTTGGAGAACATTCTGATGCAGTAAATCACAAGTCTAAAACTCACTTTAGCCTGCTTACTATGTGAATAAATTGGTGTTGGTGGTTCAACTTGATGGTTCGGTTTCTAAAACCCCCTTCACTCAGACATTGTTTTGCTGAATCTTCTGTTCTTTTCTATCTGAGGTGAGCCAGAGAGCTTATAGAAGTTGAAAGATCTTGGCTGCTGTGCTGTGGATCGTATGTCTTTGTGTGTCTCATCTGCAGAGACATTGAGGCGAGCTTTCTCTCTTCTCAATCTTTCAAAGCAAACCCTTAGAGAATGCAGACCCTAATACACCCCACCAAGACAAGGTATCAGTTTCAGACACCCGCAGCGGTTTGGCAACTTCTGCTGAATCACTTTTAAATTAGTCTGCCCTTTTCCTATCCGCAGAGTCTTCACACACACCGAGTTAAATACACAAAACTTTCCAAATCCACGGGGCTTCTACAGGGATTGTGACAGTGTCTTCAGGGATTGTTTTGAGGCTTTTTAAATGCTCTATGAGACAGAAAAGCTTTTACGATTTTTAACGAGAGATTGGGTATAAGGCATTTCTAGAATTTCTTCTAGCATACTTTGCCATAACCTTGATGGAAGTGAGTTTTACGAGTTTTTCCATAATGCTCTACCAAATGTTGCATACTTTGACAAGGAACCAATATGTTATTATTTCAGGCATTGTTCTCTCATGCATTTTCATGCCAACTTTGGCCTAGACAGGAAACAGATACAAGACAAATTTTGTCTTTTATTTTTGATTAAATATTTATTTTACTGGAATACCTGGTGTTTTTACACTATTATTTTTCACCAGTCCCTGTAATGATATGCTGAATGTTATATAACTCATCTGGGATATGATGTATGATTAGTCTGGAAGCTTCACCATAATGGCCAGATGTCTTAATCTTCTCTCTTTTCCTTCCTCTTCCTCATTCCACTAATTCTAAAGCCTCTTCTTCTGATCCACTTCCACATATTCTTCTCTTTCACATTTTTTTTATTTTTTCCACATCCATAATTACTTCTTATGGTTTTCCTCTTCCACTTTTATATTCATCTTATATCCACATATATAGTACATCCCTTTCTTCTCTTTTTTATCTCTTCATCTTCCTCATCTTCTTTCCCCTTCCCTTTTTCCTTCCCCTTCCCCAGTATTGTTGGCTTTTTGCCTGGAAGTTGGCTGGTAAAAGGGAGTGAAGGCTCTGACTGTCTTCCTGGAAGCATTTCAGGTTTTTAGTTTAGAAAGACTCGCTTTCTTTTTTCTGGTACACACTCACCACTCATTTTAAACCCAGCAAGCTGACCCTGAGAGCCAGGATTGACTGACATAATACTCCACTATTCAAAAAACCCTTACAGTTATTTGAAGATTTTCTTCACTTTTATAGTAAGAATAATTTTATCTATCCCGTGATGGCCTTTTCACATGAATGTCTTGGTGAGAAAATGCTGATAATTTACTTTCCTTCTGGGTCGTTTGACCTGACATGTATTCTGTTTCATGTAGACAGCTGTCAGTTTCTGGTCAAGTGAATAGTTCTAAGGCTAGCACAACCTGTCAACGTAATTGTCATCGTTCTTGTCAAAAAAGCTGACAGTTGCTGTCTTTTGTGTGACTGTCACCAGAACATGCAGAAGACGCTTTCATAAGCCCACTGCTCAAAACCATCTACAACAGCTGATGAAGTTTACTTTTTTATTTATATTCTAGCTAACATCTGAGAACAGAGTTTAGAGACAGGTCTGCTCTAGATTGAATCACAGTAAAAGCTCCTGATCAGGTCATGACCCACATCGCCAGTGCTAATAGAGACTCTTCAGGCCTGAATGAGGATTCCGTGCTGAGGTTTAAGAATCTTCAGGAATGCCATTTGGCCAGGAGGCTGTTGATGACACTGGACAGCATCCAGCGCTTTCATCTTAGGAGTTCTTCATCTCAAATTTGTATATGGAGATGCCTGGAACTGATAACGCAGTCATTCACAGATACGAGCAGATGGCTGAGAGCTTCCGCACATCCATTAAGCTGAAATTCATTTACTAACCTAAAGGGAAAGAGAAGGATGGCAAAATATTTGCTTTTACTAACTGTTTTGTTAGGAGAGTTGGTGAAATAACAGCTTTGAAATAAGCAATAGTACACCGAAAAATCATTTACTCACTTCTGTTGATTAAGTCTGCGTGATTTTCATGATGCTTTAACGTTGCTTTTGCAGATTTTTTGACACTTGAATGTCACCATATACCATATTTGTACACTCTTCAGTTAAAGGTTCTTTATTTGCATTCATGGTTTTTAAAAACTATGTTCTTTTAAAAACTGTTCACTGAAAGGTTTGAACCCAAAATGGTTCTTAAATTGCAATACTGTGAAAAAAAACACTTTTGAACCTTTATTGAGTGTATGGGTCAGTAGACTTCGTCAATAGCCTCCTTTTGTGTTCCATGCAAGAAAGAAAGTCATACAGTTTTGAAACAACCTGAAGGTGAGTAAATAATGACAGAATTTTGGGTGAATTATTCCTTTAGGTTCTCATTTGATTTGGTAACTTTAATGAAATATTCAGGCTTCGTATAATGGCCTTCGTCACTCACGCTCTGTTTGGAAAAAAACTAATTTTGTTCAAACAAATCTCACTGTTGTCATCTGCTGTTTCAGTTCTTAATCAAACCACTGTCCTCATGAGGGAGAGGAGAAACCAAATGTCCACCTCTGCTTCTGATTTAATGATGCTGCTTCGGCTGTTTCCAGACCCGCTGCTGATGCACATTATGTTCAGACCCAGACCTTGTCAATAGGACGAGACAAGGACAAAGCATTACGAACAAAGGTTATCAAACGTTTCCCCAAGAAAAAGCCAGTTACAGGTCCTCTTCATTCATTTATTTTCGACCCATCAGAGGAACGCTTTTTAGCTGAGGCACACAGAGCAAATCTCATTTCCTCTTCATCCACTCGAGTTATACGTCTGCATTAGCTTACATTATGATTATTATTCTGTAAAGCGACCACAGGGCCCCAGAATGGGTCAGTGTTGACATAGTATACTGTATGCAGTGTCAAGGGGAAAGACAGAGAGGAAAGAACAAAACATGGCTTTATTCCTCATTAAAATGGTGGGAAGAGTAGTGCTGCTATGCTCTCTCAGACATTCTTTCTCTTTGAATTGGAAGGCTCTTGCTTGGCTTAGGTGTTGAGGTATTGTTTTGAAGAACACTTATTTGAGAAACAGAAAGGAACTTGTCTTTTTGCTGTTCTGAATTCGAGGCTAGGGGCACATTATCCTGTTCCGACCACAGTAAATCAATCTGTCCCATCCCATAAAAATAGAAGAGCACCCCTGACGGCAACTGTCTCTGAGAGCTTGTTGAGAGAGAAATAAATAGAAAAGTACAAGACAGAAATATACAACTGAAGATAAATATTGTTTGAATCTTTCTGTTGGTCTCTGTTTGTGAGCTGAGACAACTAGACAGGCCCCATGAAATCAAAATGGAAGTTTTGTAGCTTTTAGTCCACACCTGTTAGCTCTGAGGCAATTTGTTCTCCTGAGTTCTCCTGAAAGTTTAGGAAAATAGCTTTTAGCGGATGTAGCTAAAACGAAGCAGAAAGCATTTCTATATATGCTACCTTTTAAATGTTTTTAATATTTTCGAAAGAAGTCTCTTATGCTCACCAAGGCTACATTTATTTGACCAAAATAAAGTAAAAAAAATAAACATTATATTTTTATTACAATTTAAAATGTCAGTTTTCGAATTTAATACATTTTAAAATGTAATTTATTTATGTGATGGCAAAGCTGAATATTCAGCATTCATTACTCCAGTCTTCAGTTTCACATGATCATTCATAAATCATTCTAATATGCTGATTTGCTGATTAAAAACATTATTTATTTATTTTCACAGTTGAAAACCGTTTTGATGCTTAATATTTTTGTGGAAACTGTTGCATTTTAGTTTACGTAACATTAAAAATATCGTTATATATTCTCATTTTTTATCAATTTAATGTATCCTTGTTTAATTATCGTAATAATTTCTTTAAAAAAATTTCTTGCGCCAAACTTTTGAAAAGTAGTTTAAATCATTCATAAATACATAAAATATACCTGAAAAGATGAATGTGACGATCTCCATTAAGGATGTTTTACAGATGATTTACACACATTCTGCATGATTATGTTTCCTGATTAAGGAAACTTCCAGGAATTTCTCTTCTATGAAAACATAACAGCCGCTTTTCCACTATTGGGCCGAACGGTTCTAAGAACTGTCAGGTACGGTTCCAGTTGCATTTCCACGTTAGCCTGGTACGGCGCAGCACGATTACAAACAGTTCTTGGCACGGAATTCTCGCCCGTGCTGGTAGAGTGCGTGTGCGTGACATCGCCACTCTGTTGCCTGGCTATCAGTTTCTCCATAGCTGGCTAAGCGGAAGCGCGCTATTTGATCAAAACGCTACGCTACGTTCAATATAAAAAAGAAAAAATGTCTGAGACAGTTTGGTCGGTGGAGGAAACATTTGCACTTATTGATATTATACCCATCGTCGCCTACCGTTTATTTTATTTTTCGTGTCAAGATTTGTGTCCTTTTTCTGTTATTTAATGAAGTAAATATCAGATAAAAAATGAGTCCCAAAAACAGAAATATCTGATCATCATCCATATCGCTGTTTACATTACACTTGCGTTAACTAGGCAATGACTGACGCATTTGTATTACATTCCAAAGAGCTCCGTTATCAGCACCACAGTGGAAAATGAAACCGGATCCGTGCTGACTGGCCCGGATCGGCACGGAATGGAACGGTTAAGCAAAGAGAACCGTTTGGCCCAATAGTGGAAATGTTCTATAGCGGCTAATGTTCTTACCATAATAAAACCTACCTCTGATTAGCAATAGTAAAGCAAATTCAAAGAAGGGACAAGCATTTTGATGTGTTCTAACAATAACTACAGTGAACAAAACTTGTGTTGCTAGCATTATGATAACTGTACTAGTCTCCCTTTGTCATTTGTAGTTGGTCTAAAACGAGATACCATAAATAAGACAAATAATTTAATTCATGTGGACAGACTGAGAGGGAAAGTGAGGACAGAGTATGCGTGCGTGTGTTGTTAGGGGTATCTTCCTTCTCTATCTTAATGGAGAGCTGATTGTTCGGAAGTAAACCTCCTCTGAAACTCGCCTCATTAACCTGCCAGGTGGTGGAAGACACCAAGCTCTGACTGAACTGCGGCCAGGACGGCTGCTTTGAAGACCACAAGGGACTAGACAGAGAGAGAGAGAGAAAAGGAAGAATAAAGCATCTGAAATACCGCATGTACTCTGTTGCAACCTTTTTACGTAAACCAACAAATCTTGCATTGATCATACAGAGCAACCCTGGTTCATAATGTATGAAATGGAGCATATCCCAGAAGAGCTGGTATTTCTAATGCTGCAGGAATTTAAATGTCTTTCAGTCCTTTCAATAGTCTGTTGTAGAGCTGTTCAAACAAGACTCAACAGCACGCTAGCTCTCTCTCTCTTGCAGCCGGAGATCGATTTGAGTGGATTTCTTATGGATGTAGAAGGCCACAGTTGTTTTGAATCTGAGACCCTTGGCTCGCTTTTACTTTTCCTATTATAGTGACCTCACAACTGGCATTGTATACGCAGCGTGGAGCTGTTGTTGATTGTGTGACCATGTTTTCAAGAAACTGAGAGATTCTGGGAAGGTGTGTCATCCTTCACCACGGCCGTTCCAAACACAAACAGATAACAGAAGTGAGGTCTAGGTGCTGACTGGACAAATGCCCGGGTCTGACACTTCACTTTTTGTTTATGTGTTTGCGAGCGGCCATCTTAGTGATTCATACGTGTGTACGATAGAAGTAAGAAGCTGTTGACGATATCACATTTACACCTTGTTTGGACGCATCCTACGTCCCTGGGGACATTTTTGCGGAGTGTCCTCAAGCATGTCCTGTCTCTCTCCTTCTTTACAGGTGTTTTGTCCTTAGAGTCGACGGCTTTCTCTCCTTTCTCCATATCCACTTCCTGTGTTCCCCTTTCGGTATTTTCGTGTTTTCTTCGTTCCCATTCCTTAAAATTTTAGTCTTAGTCACCACTGTTATTATTTTTGCAGTCCAGTTGCCAGCTGGTTTCCATCAAGCCCAATCAGTGCCTTCAAAGCTGTTCTGCACATTTCAGGAGCAACAAAGTCAGAACACATTTCCTCACTGCCCTGCTTGGCTAATGGGGCTCGCACTGTTTGCACGTCACCGACTTCACTCGATCCATATTTGAAAGAATGGAGAAACACCCCAGATCACGCAGCTTTAATCTAAGCTGGCCATGTGACCGTGAGAACCCTCATTAACGTGCATATGCTTATCGACATCAGCTTTGTGTATTAACTTGATACGTACTGTAATTCTAAGTTTTTTAAGTTGTTGTATGGCCAGAAATGGCTATTGGGTTTGCAATTACACGGTTGCAAGCTCACAGGCACTTAGAGACACACACTTTGTTTATTTTCTACAAAAACATGCGATTCTTTCATGTGCCTCACTCCGAAGTTCACATGTGCGGAGCAGCTGTGGATGTGTTTGTTTGCGAAAGCTCTACATTAACCTTCCTTCCACCTCTCTTTGACCTGATTGAAAACGATTCAGTGTAATTGTTTGATGAATCCTGATAACTTTCGATTGATCTACAGTATAGCGTTGGCAGTTCGGCTGAAAACACGCCACTAATGTGTCTGGGCTGTCAGTGTTTATTTGAAAATATTGCTGGCCTTTTACGCTTTGTTGCCATAGTAAGTGATACATATGGAGAATATTCATTAGTTTAAAAATCAGATCAGTTTTTGCTTTCAGGTGATATTAAAAATTCCAATAAAATCCAAAATGTGGATTAATTAACAGATTGCACTGCAAATGGGGGGTAATGCGTCTTCATTAGTATTTGCATACATTCAAATATCTTGCTTTATTGAAAGTTGAAACTCTTTTTATTTGTGTATGTTTACAGGATGCTGGAATACTCTCTCAACCTGCAGAATGTTAGTTTCTCTGCGGTCCGAACGGTCAGAGTACTTCGACCTCTTCGGGCTATCAACCGAGTGCCCAGTGAGTACAATATATTAGCAACCATTTTCCAAATGCACTTGCTAACATTAGTTAGCTACATTAATTTACATTAAAAAAAAAAACATTAAAAAAACAATATTGTTAATATTATTTAATAGGCCTGACCTAACATGAACTAACAATGAACGGTTGTATTTTTATTAACTAATTTTTTAACACATATTAATAAATACAGTAACAAATTTATTTCTCATTGTTAGTTAGTGTTAGCTAAAGCAATAAGTAATGTTAATTGAATGGAATCTTATTATAAAGTGTCACAGACATTCCTGAATGAATCAGTTCTTTTAAACAAACTAGTTAAGTAAATGATTCAGTGAGTCACTCAAAGGCAGTCATTTGTTTTGTTCTTGAATGTATCAATGATTTTGAATGAATCAGCTAAATGAATGGTTCTGTAATTAACCCTATAATTAAGACAATAATTGTTGCCACCTTCTGATGTAAATTTGTAACTTGCAGAATGATTCAACAGTCTTGTTTGGAAAGTGCAAAACATGCACAGTAATTCACAGTAATAAAACAAAGCAGTGTGCACAGTAATAAAAGTTCTTTTTTATATTATATCGAGATTTATTGCTTGTGTTTTTGTACGTTAGTAAGGATTTTGGAATCTTATGTTCACCCCAAATAATCACTTTTTTTTAAAGATTGAATGTTTAAGTAAGGTACATTTCTACCAGTTTTTGCTGTAGAAAATAGGAACTCAGAACTTAATTCAGTTTATTAATTCCCTGCATTCAATCATAGAGTTTATTAAATTCAGAATGTTCTATGTTGAATTACATTATTTAAGCACTGTGGTCAGTTAATGCAATTTAATCAACATTTGAATGAGAAATGTATCCTGGGCTCAGTCATATACTGTACCAGAGGAGTTAATGCTTTAGATTTATAGATCATTTTCCTCTTCTGTGCTTTTAACGGCTACTCTCTTTTCACACAGACACACACACACACACACACACACACACACACAAAGAAAGAATAATAGGGACTCTCTCTCTCTCTCTCTCTCTCTCTCTCACACACACACACACACACACACACACACTCTCTCTCTCTCTAAGGCAGGGTGATGATATTTCATTGGCCACATCTTTATATACCGGATGTTTTAATCACCCTCCGTGCCAAGGAGATGCCCGCGGTTCCTCCGCGGCTCTTATTTCACGAGGAGCCGTGTCTGGCCAATTCTGCTTGATGTCCCTATTTGTGGAGAGTAGTAAAATATATATTGAACAATGGTAGCATTTAGCTGGAATGTTTTGACTAGCCCAGCTAAGGTTTTGGTGAGGGTAATTTGTGTGGGGTCCTGTTCAGTTCTCACCCCTCTGGATACGGTTCAGTATGTCTGTCAGTCTGACAAGACAAACTGCACCCATTCTTCATCAGAGGAGCTTCATTCTTCATATAGTTTAGTTAGGAGACAAGAGTGCATCCATCTCTGTTATGATTTATAACTAATTAATACCTGTGCCAATCTGAGACAGGGGGCGAAGTGGTAGCAGACAGACTAATTAATTATTCAGGACCCACCCAGACTAATTAAAGGCCTAATGTTTGTATTATAAAAGCAGTCATATCACCCTGTAGCCCAAGACTGGTTGCCCACTGAAGCTAAGCAGGGTTGAGCCTGGTCAGTACCTGGATGGGAGACCTCCTGGCAAAACTAGGTTGCTGCTGGAAGAGGTGTTAGTGAGGCCAGAAGGGGGTGCTCACGCTGTGGTCTGTGTGGGTCCTAATGCCCCAGTATAGTGACGGGGACACTATACTGTAAAAAGCACCGTCCTTCGGATGAGACGTTAAAACCGAGGTCCTGACTCTCTGTGGTCATTAAAAATCCCAGGATGTCCTTTGGAAAAAGAGTAGGGTGTAACCCTGGCATCCTGGCCAAATTCGCCTATTGGCCTCTGACCATCATGGCCCCTAACCATCCCCATATCTACTGATTGGCTTCATCACCACCATTAAGCTGGTGTGTGGTGGGCGTTCTGGCGCACTATGGCTGCTGTCGCATCATCCAGGTGGATGCTGCACACTGGTGGTGTTTGAGGAGATTCCCCCCTTCCATGTAAAGCACTTTTGAGTACCCAGAAAAGCGCTATATAAATGTAACAAATTATTATTATTAATTTGTGAATTATTTTGTCTGTGGCTCGCCTGCTGCGGACAGTCACTGGGGAAATGGGTGACAGAGATTTTTGTTGATCCTATTTGTCAGTTTTCACTTTTTTTTTCCCAGCACTAATCAAAACAAAAGAGAGGGAGAAAGAAGAACATAATAGGAGTTAAACTCAAATCATCAATCATTAAACTGTCAAGCTGGAAACTAAAGCAGCATGTCATAAACATTTTGAAATTCTTTTGACAGTAAAGTATTAGATAAATTGGTATCGGTGGTCTTTTCCAATCTACAAGACAAATTCTGCAACTAGGGTCTAAAAGTTTTTTTTTTACGTTTTTTTTTAATTACGTGTATTTTATTGAATTTATTATTTTTTTACTTTATTTTTCAAGAATCTAATTAGACTATAGTGTACTTTTAAGAATTATGTATTTTTTATGTAAAAAAAAAAAACTAGACAAAAACTCCATAAAACAGTTTTGAAAGTTGTATGTTGCCAAAAATGATACGATCTAGTATTTTTATGCAGTGTTTGGCATTGTATAGACTGTAAGTCTATCCCTCAAAGTCTTGTTTTCATCGGTGTTAAATTCAATATGGTGTCTAAGGCCTATGGTTGAGCTTGTACTTTCCAGAGTCAAGTCAGTCCCACTCTGTGTTTCACATAACCTTCTTCTATGTCCTCTGTACTTCCCTGCCCTCTGTCGTTCTGTTCTCCCTATCTTTGAGGAGCTGTCTTAATCAACATCACACTCTGTTGTTCTCCTCCACACCCATGGCTTGATTGATGAAGAGACGGGGGAAAACTGTCAGTAGATGACAAACATGTTCCCTCACAAATCAAAATACTCAACACTGCTGTGGTGTACAGCTGGCTCACTCTGCCTTGTATTTGGTGTGCAAGTGTAAAAAGCGATCTCTTAAAAGGTTTGTAATATGTAGACAGACCACTATTCGTGCCCTTTCACTCCCCCAGAAGGTGGATTAGTCTGTCAGAAAGTTTGGAGCTCTTTTACACTTCATCTTCTGGATTAGAATTCACCATGATTCCACACTCGAGGGCAGTTGGAGGCTAATTGGAAATCCGCCTGGCTGCCCACTTGTGTATTCTATTATTATTTGGGCCGAGCAACAACATCATGTCGAGTGTCCGCCAGCGGTGACGTTGCGGTCATCAATTTCAGAAGACCAGCAGTAATTGGAGTGGTGGACACGTAGATTGGTGAGAGGAAAGAGGGCACTATTGGAGAGAAAGGGATACTGTAGCGTCTGGACCAATCAAACACACAATTTTTCATTTGATTTAACAAATCAGTTATTCATTAGATTAACAAATCGTCACAGTCCCCTCACCCAATAAACTGGATGCCAGGATGTCTGCAACGACACCAGGCCCCCCCTGGTTACCATGGCAACCCTGACACCAGATACATTTACGACCTAATGGCATGTTGAGAATTACCCCTCTCACTACAATTTCCATAGGAAAGACACAGTGCACAGTAGAAATGGACTCTTCTCTAATCTTTAACTTACAGTAAACCCGTTTTGGTTATTCTTTAAACAAGTGCAAGAAGTTTATTGATAAATTAGAGAAGCACTCACAGAAGTGTATGATTAATTATTCATATTTCCCCATGAGCTGATTCGCTACAGATACAGACACAGGAAGAGAGGAACTGAAAACTTTGTCCACCACATGAGTGACTTTTTAAGAATTATGAAAATTACGAAGATGAGAGTGTGCCGGTGCGACAAAGGAAGCAGACACTGAAATGGACTGTGTAATTTGTGTAAGTGTAGTCTATAAGTCTTGGACCAGGTGGATGGCTTTATTAAATTAAATTAAATTAAATTAATTTCGGCAGAACACACCACACAATCTTCTACCGGATTTCGTCCGGACTCTGTTTTAATTATTCTCGGGGACTTTAATAAAGCAAATCTTTCCCGTGAACTGCCAACATACAGACAGCATGTTACATGTCCCACCAGAGACAGTAATATACTGGACCATTTTTACTCCACAATAAAGGATGCATATCGCTCGGTCCCCAGAGCAGCTGTAGGACTCTCTGACCACTGCCTGGTTCATCTTATACCGACTTACAGGCATAAACTTAAATCTGCTAAACCTGTAGTAAAGTCTGTAAAGAGATGGACCAACGAAACAGAGCAGGCATTACAAGCCTGTTTCAAATGAACTGACTGGAGTGTTTTTGAAGCTGCCACCAACGATCTGGACGAGCTCACGGAATCTGTAACATCATATATCAGTTTCTGTGAAGACATGTGCATCCCTACCAGGACTCATTTAACATTTAACAATGAGAAGCCATGGTTTACAGCAAAACTTTGTCATCTTCGTCAGGCCAAAGTGGACGCCTACAAAAGGGGGCACAGAGTCTTGTACAATCAGGCCAGAAACACACTGAATAAGGAGATTAGAGTGGCCAAGAGGAACTACGCTAAAAAGCTAGAACACCAGTTTTCTGCCAATGAGCCTGCATCAGTGTGGAAAGGCGGACCACCTCACGGCCTCCTGAGGGGCCCTCGACGGTCGGCCCCCAGAGACGCTCTCAGAACCAGCCAGACTCGAGAGCCGATTGATGATGCAACCGACTGTTACTACATAAGCTACACACAGACAAACACAGCACATCGGGTCTTTGTTGGAGAGCTAGGAGAACTTACTTAGCCAACTAAAAGACATTTTCAAGAAACTTGTGTCTTTATAAGTTGCTTTTGATGAAACAGTTCATAGCTATCAATCACATATGACGTATCTCTGCTAAATGAATTAGTCAATATAAATGTAAATTTATAATAAAATCGCCTTAGAACAGTTGGG